AAGCACGTTCGCCGATCGTGTCTTTTACAGAATTCGGGACTGTGAGTCAATCGGGAGGCCAGTTTGACTACTTCTATAGAGTGTAATATAAATAAACCTAGGAGTGCGGCTTGCTGATTACGCGGCTTAAGCCACCTCCATCATTTTATGAACACAAGCAAGTCCTCTCAGACAATAGTGGATGAACGGACTTGCATTTGAGGAGGCACCTGGCATGTACTCCGTAGACGAGCGAACACTCAAAAACGATGAATGCTTTTTAAAGTTTACATAAATTAGTAAGCATCACCTTTATTCGCAGGTCTAAAAGACAGATAATTACATTCTACATCGGAGCTAAAGGAATTCTGTACACGCTCTCTCTCGAGAAGGAATATTTCATAGATACTGTTCTTAAAATGTCAACATAAACTGTGTATGGGTTTTTAATAATTATATTTTTATGGTAGTTTTCCATTGAAACAGTTCCCACAAAAACCCAGTATGCTGTCTTGCATTGGCAGAATTGCGTTTATTTTGTGCTACTCACTATGAAGCAGTATCTTCCGGCTGGAAGTACCTTTACAAATTTGAATTTATCTTTCAAGCAGTTGGACGAATACGGCACTGTGTTAAACAGACGGAAGAAACTTGCCAAGATTTCAGTTTCGAAAATGTACTTTTACCGCCCATGTGCTTCGAAAGCTGCCACTTTCGTTATTAGGCATCCTTTAAGTTGGCTTTTGTAAAAAAACAGCGCTACTATTGTTTGTAAGTAATATCCATTTTACACATAAAAATCTCACGCCTTTAAAGCTGCGCTTTATTTGCCGACGAATGACTGATAAAAATCCGTGAGAAGTCCTTTTTCCGCTCACTTTTGGTCGCTATGCCCCGATCACATAAAGAAGTTATGTGCTAAAAAGTCGTTTGGCAAACATATGTTCTCAGTAACTCAACATCAGGCCACATGCGTAATGATCTTTTTAATTGTGGACAGGATATAATAGTGTCCCAGTGGGCAGGGTTAGTCAGACTTCATGTTCCCACGCCGCCTGCATGACGGATTCAGCGTGTTGAGGACGGTGGAGTTGGGGTAGTAGGGAATTTTCGCAAAATCGTGTGTTGTTAGTTTCGGGTTCATCGTGAGCGTAAACCATCGCAAATGAGTCAAATCTACAAAGTAGGCAAAATCATTTTCATTTAAAAACCTGTACATTATATACATGATCTAATCGTACGCTTTTCCGGCATAAATACGTTGTTTGTCCAAACATATCATGCAGGTTTTCTTTCACTATCCATCACAGAGTAGTATGAACTGGCAAAAATATCGGTACCTGCATTAAAAGCCAAGGACAAGTTCGCAATTTCAAGTGATTTCCGCAACGCCTTGCAGTAGAAGGGCTATCGCCAATTTACGAATAACTGGCGAGATTTTCGGCAAACCAACTAAGGTTGAAGTGCGAGATTCCGTTGAACTGGCAGATACAGCAGTCTCAAGGGCATTTAACTCAGGCGACTAGTTTATTGTTATTATCGACAAGTCGCGTCAAGATCCTGAATTGACAGAAGATAAAATAATGCATTGAAATAGTTTTCATCAGATAATAAATGCAAATCAAATCTGATACCTTTGCCGTAAGGGCTTATATGCTTTCCTGCCGAAATCATCTGTTAAGGGTCAGGCGAAAATTTATTCCCTTGCTCCTAAAAGGTTTATTTTTCAAACATTGCGTCCGTATTGGCCTGATGTATAGCTAGCGGAGGTTGACGGATGCTCTTAACCCCCGCTCCAGTCTTTAGCCCTAATTCTTATTTCACTTCATTTGTCTGATTCTAACTTCAGTTACTACATTAGAATGTGTTCATCTACGCGTGATTAATAGTCATTCCGAGCGAATGCTACTATCTTTTCGATGGTTTGACTACTTACCTAAGTGTACAGGTTTGACGAATTATCATCAAAAACTTGCACCTGTTAAAACAGTACCTTTACAGGTCTTAAATTTGTTAAATTCCTTTAATACTGCCGGGAGAAAAAAGTACTAGGTCAAACGAATTAACAACGCTGATATGGTGCACGGTGGACTCCTACATTTTGCTGAGAATTTCAGTCGGTATTATGAGCTGGATTCAGCAGGAGTCCCATAATCTGATTTAACAGATCAAACTTGGTTTTCTGTGCAGATTTTCTTAATTGCTAACCGACAGTGACGAATGTACCACAACTGCTCAAACCACTGTTTCTAGCCCTCGTCAGTAACACCTTCCAGCCGTAAAACAAGAAGCCATGGGCACTTTGGGCATATAAGTCACCAAATCCTATCTCGCACCTGCAATTTTCAAACAGGGTTCTGTGAACCAAGACTAACTTTGTTGACTATTTTGTTTTGGAATTACCCTGCTTTTAGCAAACATACTCGGCCTGATACAGGTCTTGGACAAATTGTAGTTATAAAATTTTATTTACAAAAACGGCCTTACCGCTTGAAAAAGCAACTGCTGTCAGCTTGAAAAACATTCCCGGTGTCTCCTTTATTTAGAGTTGGTGACCAAGGATGTCAACATTTACGACTGATTTTTAATCACTTCAAAAGCGGCAAAAATGCGTAGATCTAATATCTATATCATTAAAGAACAAATTAAGGGAAGTGAAAAAAATTAAGGAAATATCAAGTTATCTACATGCACTAGTTTTCTAGAAAAGTGGATAATTACGATGGGACCAAAAATCGTTGTAATTGAATCAACTTTATTCTTAAATATATGGCAAGCTTGTCCACGCAAAAGCTGAGTAAATAAGACGATTCACACCTAATAATGTCATACGATAGCCCTTTGGTGAAGTTTAGGTTTAAATGTCCTTTAAGAATTAGGGTAATGTCCAGTATGGCAGTTTACAAATAGCCTACATTATGATTATAGATTTCAAAATGGTTTTCCGAAAATTTTAAAATTTTTTCTCCCTTGCGTTAAAAAGGACGCGGTTCACCAAGGCAGACAGGATTCTCCGCAAAGGCGCATGTTGTCAGGCCGGTCAGCAACTAATAACTCTGAATATAATTATCTGACGTAATCGCAAGCATACTGTGTTGTGCGTATAAAGAGATATTTTCTTCCGCGAAATTAATTTACACATTCAAAATAAGGTAATTCTTGACTGTATTTACAGAAGTGTTGAGTGTTTGAAGGCCTATTTTCACGTAGATGGCCGTTTTGTTCACATTTGAAGACTCAACTAAACATAAAATCTAAATTCGTCGCACGGACTTGACGCAACGCTGGTGACGAGTGAGAATTTGTTTATAGTGTGCAACACCTACCGCACTGTTTCTCCCTCTCCTCCCTCCCTCAGGTGGCTCCGATAAGGTCAAGACGGCCGGAGGAGACTCGGGTTCTTTGAGTGACAAAGTCAAAAAGCCCGTCTGTGTGAGCCACACATACCCCAGACCCACCCCGTCCTCCTACATGCTGCAGACTGCGCTAAGGACAACTTGGATCTCGTTTGGGCGCGAATGCCCTAAAGGTCGCATTTAGAAGTGGCCAGTACAGACTGAACCTCCGTTCTTCTGTCGCGCCAAAAATACTCCCATGGAGACCAAGTTATCCTCTCAGTTGGCCTCGTTCCAAGCCAGTACTCCTGACGTGTCTTGATAGATTTAAGCGTATCAGCAATAAATGTGATGATGTTAAGTGAGGATGGATTTTCCTGTGTCGATCTTACTCTCTTTCTCTTCCCTCACTTATAGCCCGGTTGACTGTCTGCACTTATCGGTTAGGTGGTGATGGTATTGGACACTAGTAGCGTAAGATGATGAAGCATATTCCCTTTCACTTTTGTTCCAAGAAAAAGCCTTTCTAGCACAAAGTTGTATGCGAATAACCAGGTATTCTGAAGGTTCTGCGTCTCGTGATAAGGCATGATCACGATATCAGACGCTTACTCATGCACCACCGTTCTTTCTATCATAAGGCCACACAATGTGCAATTCCACGAACCAATTCCACGGTAGAGGTAAATTCTTACTTAGGTTTCGAGATGTAATCTTTTAACGACGATTGCGTTTCTACTTTTACTGCTCCTTTTGGCTCCTATCATTAGCTTAAAAACTGGACTTGTGGAAGATATTTCAATAAGTGAACAGTTATCTTTGCGAAGGATTTTCCTAGTGACGCAACAACATATGCCTGATAAAGGAAGCTTTCGGATACAGCAGTGACGATGCTCTAGCGCCATGCAGCAAACGGCGACTTGATAGCGACTCCGTCACATAACTAGTGCCACTTTTGTCCTCAATAATTAGGCCGGAGTCAACTTACTTCCCCATCATGCCACTTTTCGGAGGCATTGGATGACTTGGTGGGAAATATCGCTCATGTGTTAGTGCTGCGACCGAGATTTGTCAGACTAAATTAACGTTCACTGGGAATGAACGATATTATCGCCTGGTGACCAAAATAGGATACATCAATTTACCAACAATGTTTTGGTTTCCTAAATCTTCTAAATTTCTCTCTACGTTATAGTTGTTTGAAATATCTTCAGAAAGATGTCCTCTTAAGAAATATTTTCAACATTAAATAAATGGTTTGGATTTCATGCAAAAACAGACGCGCACCTTTACGCAGGTAAAGTAATGGTTACTAAACAATAAATTTTACGTGCACTAAATAGTTGCAGCCCTGTTGACTGCTCGCCAGATCCCCTCTACATTTGTATCATAGACAAAAGCCCTAAAAGAGTTTCGATGTCTTCAATTTAATAATGTATAGATTTCTGTAACCAAGGTTAGATAAAACTGGGAAATGTCAATGTTAAGTGGATTTTTTCTCGGAAGCCCCAAATAACCTCTTTGCAAACCCCACAAAAATCAACAAAACTATTTTGCAATTGTATTGGACTACTTTGCGAAAGCAGGAGGTCTTCGATAAAGAACTCAAAAGCTGCATTTATTGTGTTGACTAACGAAAAAGAGATGGTGAAAATGTTCTGCCAAAAACAGTCAAAGTTCGAACGATCACAATCGACGAATTCCTGAACCGCGAGGAAATCCGCTTGATTTGCTTTGCGTTGTCTGTGGTAATACAGCGAAATACTCCTTACTTCTGTCAGATGTAGAGCTAATAGAACTTTCTGAGCTGTTTGATCTGTCTCGTAGTTTCTGGTCACGTCTAGAACCTCGTGTACGCCCACCTTGATCATTGCCGCGTTGCCAATCCGAGGAATGACCGGAATCACTGCTACTGTTGGTGCTGCTGCTCGAACTGCTGCTGCAAATTGTGTCGAAGCCCACCTCCTGTCGTCTCTTCGGCTGGTAACCTACAAGGTTTGAACTACTTCTGCCTTTGAAATTGTCGGTATTGTGTCCCCTTCCCGCTGACACGGACCGCTTGCCACTATGGTCGCGTCGACTTTGCCGGCTTCTGTTTTGTGTTGTGACCGTGTCACTGGAGGAGCTGTCGCTGCTGCTGGTGCTTGTATTTCGTCTTCTCCTGCCGCGACCACCGAATTCAGTGTCCGAGGAGTAATAGAACATTTTACCACGCTCAGACTTTACTACACCCTTACCTGGAACGTATTTGAAGACACGCACTGGCGCATGTGGGGACATTTTCGATTTCATAGTAGAATGTGGAGTCCTGGATTCGTGAGACCGACTCCTGGTTTTTTGTTCACTGAGGCCACCATCAGCTGTGTTGGTAAAGAAGGTTGTTTCGTAGGTTCGGCTGCGGGACTGTTTCTTAGATGACTCTTTAAGGTACTGAGCTTGAGGCGACTGCATGTCACTTTTTGTGACAGGATATTCCACATAGGTGGTCTTCGTCAAGGCCTTGTTTCTGTCCTGTGAAGTGGATCCTCTGGAAATTCGTCCTGCGCTAGCCTGCCGAGTTGATGATGAAGTGAATTCTGAAGAGAGGGAGGAAGACGATGATGAGGAAGAACTGGAGGAAGCACGTTTCTGCGCAGACTGCGGTCTTTCTGCTTGAGACGGTTGCTGTCGCGAAGAGGGCCTAGACTGTTTAGTGATGGACTGTTGGCGAGGGGTAGACGAGTATGAGGATGAGGAGGAGGAAGTGGATCGCCGCCTAGATGGCTGTTGCGTCTGCTGTAAGGGTGTTGGCGGTGGTGGTGAATACTGATTAATTGGAGTTAGAGACTGAGTCGAGCTCGTTGGTGAAATTGATTTGCGGGAGAGCCTGGTCGCTGATCCAGCTGGTCTGGAAGTCGATTGTCCCTTATCATTCGTGACTGAGGATGACCTTCTAGAGAGGTCGCGAGAGGCCTCCAATTGAGAAGGTTGCTGTGGGGGCACTGATGCTGACGTTTGCGGCTTGGATGTCGGTGGTGTCGGTGATGGTGCAGGCTGTTCCTGCTCCTGCACTGCCTCTGGCTTATTCTCCTTATTCACCACCTTCAAGAATTCCTCGTAACCTTTGTCGGTGTTAAAACGCAGGAATATTAACCAAACTGGCTTCTTTTTATCTCCCTCATATGTCAAAACGGCCGTTTTGTCTTGTTTCGGTCCTTTGCTGACCTTCTGGATTTTGTCGTACTTCACAACGTCTATGGGAACTTTTTTTTTCTTGTCAGCAGAGGTCAGTTCCATTTTGTCCTGGAACACACGTGCGGTCACTGGTTTTGGCTTTGCTTTCACCGTTTTGGGCAATTGCTTCTTGATAATGGCCGACACCTTATCGGCCTTCTTCTCCTTCTTGACGTCGCATACATCGATCTTCGACTGAAAGAGTGGCTTCGCGGCAGCCATTGTGAGAAGTTTGAAAAATCATTCGAACATGCCTACTTATGGTCTAGTTAAGGGGCGTACTACTCTGTCAGACGCACCAAAATTGCAGCCAATTGTATCATCTCTAAGATTGCTTTAGGGCTTAATCAGCTCATGTGTGATCTCTTTCACACACACTTTCTCGACACTCTCGCAGTGCTGGGATAGCACAGCTGCAACACTCGCACTACCGCCTCTCTGACTACGCGCAGATCGATCGCACACATACTGTGGAGCCAATGGGCGCTCCGGGTAGCGGGAGTGGTTCTGTCCCCAGGTTACCTGTGTGCTGTAAAATGCGTCAACCCCTAATTGACGGCTTTGTACCAAGCCAGAGGCGCTGCAGAGGCAGACGCATCACGAGTTGTTAGGCAGTTCTTTGGTGCGATGCCCTGTATCCCGCAGCGCATCGTCTGACGGGCCTGCATGCTGGCGGGGGCGACTAAACGGGGTGACCGCAGGGTGCGCGTGAAAATCACATTGTGTCTATAGGTCAAGTTTCGAGTCGGTATTTGCAGGCATATCTGTCGATTCATGTGTAGACTTTCGGTTCAAAGTTTCACTTACCCAAAGGCTTGCTGGGTAAAGCATAAATTTTTGTTCCAAAGGGATCTTCGGCCTTTTGTATAAGCGAGGGAGGAAGCAGAGCCACTGATAACTTCTATAGAGTTCGTAAGTCGCTGGTATTTGCGACCTCCATTAAAGTAGACGAGGGTGGACAGATTGTTTTCATACAGTGTACATCTGTAATGTGCGCGGCTTGACAATCAAGAAAGAGCAATCGAAGTCCAACAGGAAGGATCATGAAATCGTGTGACATACAGCTTCTGACGCAGCGCAGAAAATACAGTCCCCTGGGTTACAGTCACAAGAAAGCATGAATAATGTGTGCCATAGGCCAACAACGAAGCCACAAAATCTGGTATAGGGGTCATGTTAACAGGTGGGCACTTGCGTGTATCGAGAGTAACGTGCAACGGCAGTCAGCACGGAGACCTCTCAGCCGTCCAGTGGGATGAAACGGCAGTTTTCGTCGGAAAATCGACCTGCCGCCTCGGCCCTCAACTTTTAAGTCGCGTGCCGATCATCGAGACACATTTTACTCGAAGTAGACTAAGCAAAGTTAAAAATCATCCAAAAAGTTCAAATGTTGCAATCTTCTAGAGAAAATATTTTCTTAAGACTAGTTTAATGGCAACGCAGCTGGAATGAACGCATTTCCAGTATGCTTTTCTAAAGGATGACTTGCTCCTGAGAGCATACTGTGTCAACAGGCGGCTAGATAGTTGTTAAACTAACACCCAGTTTTTCATTTAACGAAAGCGGTCGTTCTCTTTTTGTCGTCTTTTCCGTTTTTATAGGAAAACTGCTATATTGAAGCGGTGTGACAGTGTTTTTAACACCCGTTTCGTGCTTTTGTCATCTAACCGAAGGTCGTTCGTTAGTGACTGAGAACTTTGGGGGATATATCTGTACAGATTTTCAATTGATTAGAAAATTTTCATGGAGTCGCATATAGTTCATGAGTTTCCTCGCACATGTGGTTATTATTGAATTTCCGTATGTGTCTATATTGTGCAGATGCCTACGTGCTAGTTAGTAAATTAGGCAGAGTCTTCTTGCTTCGGCAGGCGTTATCCCGTACGTTTAAACTTTGCGATGGTTTATTTTTTTATTTTGTGTATGGAATTGGCTTCCGAAGACACTGGAGCAATTTAAAAAGTAGAGTTACACGTGATGAGTCGGCTCACAATTTGAGATATTTATTTTTTGCAATAATCATAGTTTACTTTGCACGTTCACTGATTCAACAATTGGAAAATTCTGCGAAAATTCGCATATTACGATTGAAAAGTCAATTGGCTAGCATATGCTTTCGGTAATTCCTCGTCAGGCCTGTACAATTACAAGGGAAATAATCAGTCTAATTGTCGACAGGGTATAAATGCGTCTCGGGGGCTGGGTTAATCGAACTCTATGTTGCCACGCCGCCCGCATGACGGCGTCAGCGTGTTGAGGACGATGGAGTTGGGATGGGAGGGGGGGGAAGGAGTTGGAGTGGGGGAAGTAGGGGGGTTCCGGTTAGATTGTAGGCGCTGTGAGTGCGTGTGACTGCTCTCAGTGCGTCGGGACGGCGTGCGATCCCCGTCTGGAGTCGGCCATGGCAGACAGACTGCTTGTGTCAGTGTCTTCTGACAACAGAGTACTGGGTTCGGCAGTCGAATGGCCACTGCTTCGGCTGTGGCTAGCACCCGTTTGCGCAGGCCTTTAGAGTAGTGAGCCGGTGCCCAGTAGATAACTTTAAAAGCTTCTTTAGCGTCGGTTTGATGGTTCGTATCGATTAGATGTACGAAAATTGAACTCGAAATTGATCGATGTTCACCTCTACCTAGCCAGGCAGGTATGTGTTCGCGTATTCTCTTTTCCGGACGCCTGGTTGTACGGCGCACAATTCACTGTGTGGAATAAAAGGTATATTGATCTTTATCTAAAGAAGGCCACAGGAAGGATTGTAACATTCGCACTGGTAGCTCATGTAGTAAGTGCCTTTATGCGAGCTAAATAGAATTATTTGTTATGATTATTACACGGTATGGTGTCTAGCGACTATTATTAAGTACCCTAATGGGTGCTTATTAAAATGATTCACCATTATATAGTAATGCAGTCAAGGATATCTGGTTAACTGTAACTGCACACCAAGTGCTCTGCCCCTTCTCATGGCATGAGCCAGAAAGCTGCGAGTTAATTCTACTCTGTGCAGACGTCAGACTGCTTAAGTGCGAGTAACAACGAAGCGTCAGCCCGGAAGCACGTGAGATGTAGTGTCTTGTTTATCGTGTCTGAGATGCCCCTACTAGTACAAGGACTTGGTTAGCTGAGTCATCTGTGCGTTGGAAGTTTGATTGATTGGCCCTCGGTGTGGGTCAGCTCGTTTACCGCGGTCGTGGATTAACAGCCAGATGGTGAAAAGGGAACGCTGGAGTGGCTCCTACAGTAGGGAGCCCCAAAAGGTGTGTGGGTAGTAAAATATGCACGGAAGACTTACGACCAGTTAAGTAAACTTAGCAGAGACATAAAAATCCAGCAAAAACACTGAAGGGAATTTTATCATTCAAGCCTATTAAGTGGTCCTCTAACAGTATAAATTAGCTGGTTCCAAAGGAATTGGATAAATGTATATATATACATATCACATTAATAGCTAAAAAGTTTTTTTGCTTAAAGTATACTTTCCAATAAACGTGTTTCCTAGAAAATTAGAAGAATTACCCTAAGGGGGAACGACGAGGTGCTTACCAAGGACTTTGTAGGTTTGGTATATGGATTAACGTATTCGACCGTCCTGCTGCAGCATATTAAATCCACCAATCCTAATGCACCATTCAAGCCGACTTTCCAAGGCAAGCAATCAAGAATTCACGAGGTTACTACCAGACTCAAATATGAGAAGAGTTTCTGATAGTCAGCAAATAAATTAGAATTGGCGAATTTCATATGTTGCAATAAGTTAGGCGGGTAACTTATCCGAACTAAGAAAAACTCGAGTCTCGTAATTCACGTAGTTATAACGCTGGTTGTATCAAAGCCTAGCCCTTTTTGTAGCGGATATGAATCCTTTGGAGTCTGCCAGGTTTTTGATAAAGTAGCTCACCAGTTACATTGTTTAAATCTGTAAAATTACAGGTTCGTTGCAAGTGTCTCTACTTTTCAGCAACATCTAGTAAACGAAACAAGTTGCTACGGAATTACTTACGTTTTGGAATTTTTTGATTATCGTCGCTAATCTCCTGGCAAGGCGTTGAACTAATGGGGTTGGAAACGTCTAATTCATTTAATTATTTTTAATTACTTCCTCTCACGGTGGTCCCAAGTAATAAATGACGCTTCTTCGCCTTTTACTTTTTTTTCATAATAGGCATATTAATTTTGGCAAAGACTTGCACAACGTCAGTCTTAGTCATTTGCTTTCTGTTCTCTTCCTTATACCGTCAAAACATACGTGTCCTCACTCAAGTGCGTAGGCTGTAAGCGCTTCCCACTTCTTTCATGAAACCACCGCCTGTGTGGTTTCTGTTAGTTTGTGTGTGAATTTCCCCGCGCGCATCCATTAATGCAGTGAATCACACGCTGTCAAACAGCAGAACCTGGAAGACGCAGAAATCATCTTTCTCACAGAGGAAATACTCATGTGACATTTCATATGAACGGTGACGTTTTGCGTAACTCTGGAGCAGGTACTTCAGAATTCAGATGATTTAGCTCGTAAACATTATTATGAACCCCTATCCTATCTATGCTTGTGTCCAGACGGCCAATGTCGGGTTTATTATGAACTTATCCGTTCACCATGAGTCTTGGTAAGAAGAAATAGACTTTGGATATTTAAACGTTAGCAGTGGAAGACTAAAACGCATGCTCCAAGCATGCATGTGGGACCGAATCTCAGGTTACCGATTACTGTGGCAGTAAATTGGGCAGCCACCAGCATGTGCTGGTAAGACCAAACTGAGTAGCATTCCGATAATTTTGGTGTCCATAAGTTCAAGATTCAAAAAGACAAAACTCGAATGCCTTTGTAAAAGGAATGGACTAAGTAGAGGAAGTAATTTTCCAGAAGAATCAAATAGAAATTAAAAGTGACGTTAAGCACTAACCCTGTCGATACTTACAAGACAGATTCGTTTTTGTGTCAGCTATTCCGATATCTCTAGCTGAATTCCCATCTCATTTGCTCCTTTAGCTTACATCGGCTAGAGAGGAAGACTGCATTAGCTACTACAGTTTATTAAGGATAACGTTTTGTCCAAACATCAAAAGTTAGACTTAAACAAGTATGTGAGGTGGATGAGAAACAGTGGCCGTCGTTTATAGGCTATGAGCGGCGGAGGAAGCGCCGGAGGTTTAGAACCAAGCCGACTTAAAACTATATAAGTAAATTACAAGTACAGGCCCAGACCTCCTGCATAACTTAAGTAAGC